TTTGGGATGATTGACGGATCATTGGAGTCGGACAATAGGCTGGAGGAGGCCAGACTAGAAGCTTTCAGGCTATATTGGCAAATGCTTAATATAGCGAGACCTACTCGAGACAGACGGTCTCGTAGGTCGCGTAGCCCAAGAAGGGGCTATGGTACCTACAGGTACGGAGAAAGAGAGTCTTTCTCGGGAGGCGCCAGGGAAGCCTCGGGCTATTGAAGATGTGAGGGAAATCAATATATAAGATACTGTCCAGAGCTGCGCCGAACCTATCGTGATGTTTTGGAGACAAACCTCACCCGAGTGGGCCCAACTAATCGTGACTTTTTGGAGACAAACGACATGGCGCACTTCTGCCCCCTCCCTAACGGCGCCCATTCCAGCCGTGCCGATTCCCGCCTTGCCGATTCACGTATGGGCGCTCATTCCAGCCGGGCCGATTCCCGTATCGGCAACACCACCGAGCCCAAGTTAACAGGTTGACTTGGCGTCGGAGGTTAATATGCTTGATTTAAACGTCACGTCTAATGACCATCATATAGAAGATGAGTTATTAGACTAGGACAAATAAATTTTTTGTTTAATATTTTTTTTTTTTAAATTAATGTAAATTTTTTAATATATTATATTTTGGTTATATTTCAGGTTTAAAATATTTCCATGGTCTTGGTATTTTTTTTAAACTAAGACCTAAAAGCTCTTTCAACTGGTTGCCTCCACGTGGCTAAGAGCGGAAACATAAAAATATGAAAATTAATAATTTTCATATTTTTATGGCTAAAACCATAATATTATAACTATAAAATATATTAAATATAAGATCAAAAGCAATAGCGGGACAAATCATTAATATAGTATAAATAATGTAATATTGTTTAGCTAATATTAGAGAAAGTTTGTACAGTTAGAACAATGCATCCAATTATTTTTTTGTAATAACAATATAAATAGTTATTTTTAAGTTTAAATATTACCAATTATTAAAGTCCTATAATTTGAAATTTTTGACTATAATTATTGAAGGTAAAAAGGCATATAAAAATAAATATATTATATTATTATATAAACTATAAATAGATATCGAAGATGAAAACAACATCATATTATAGTTTGGTCAATGATTGAAATTGGAAAACTAAATAGTGATACGTCGGAAACAACATTCTATAAAGACTACCGTGATTGAAACACTCACATTATTTTACAACAAACGAATATTTACATTTTTTTACCTATTACGATTGTATATAATAATATGTAATATAAATGGTATTTTATTAAAAAATATGTTTTAGTAATCTTATTATATTTAATAAATTGTATATTTCTTATAGTATATTTATCTGATTAATAAAATTATTTGTTTTATAAATTTGGTGAATATAGTAGGAGAGACTGCGGTTAGTCTAACCTATTTTTAAAAAATTGGCTATAGTTTCTGTTTTTTTTACATAATATAAAAAATAAAATATGATTAGATACCGAAAACAATACTTTATAAAGGTGCCTTATAAAAAAATTTAAGAATATATTTATTTTTTTTTAATTTTATTTTTTGTAAAAGTCAAAATTATGTCTAACAATCCCCAATAGCGGGGTGAGGCAAACCACTTCAAGGGGCTTCCTAAACCATTGGTTTTTTAAGGCCATTATAAATTGAAATGTATTTTTATTTATTAATAATGATACAAATAGAATAATTTTGTTGTATTGTAGTATATATCATATACTTATAAATTGAGGCTAATTATATATAAAAATTGAAACTTAATTTTGGTTAATTTAATAAACATTTTGGACATAAAAAATAAAGATCTTAAGGAGAGATTATGATAGCATAAATCCTAAATACCAATTATAAAACAGACATGAATTGCCTTTACAAGATTTTGAAATTTTTTTCATTATTAACTGCTTTAATTGACTTGTATGGTTTAGCAAGCGCCGCTAGCTCTAATTATGATTGAAATAATATCAAATTATAGAAGAGTGTTTAAAATTAGCTATAAAATTTAATTTACATATAAATGATTATATATTATAATAAAAATTAAAATTCTATCATGTAAAAATTTTTGAAAACTTCATCAAAATTTTATTTCTTAAATAAAATTTTTAATAATTTAATATTTCAAAAGATTTTTTGTCTATAGATGTAAACTAATAAAAACTATATTAGGATAAAATATTAACCTTCTGGTATATTTAATTTTGAAATGAGATTAAGTGGTTTTCCAAGCCCCGGGGTCCTAACCCCAGTCTCCCACAAAACATGTAAAATGATAAATTTTTAAATAAATTTTAACTATTAATGTAAGATTAGAAAGTTATTTTAAAAAACTTATTACTAACATAAATGAAAAATAAATTATAATTATAATATTTTCTAATTCATCAATATATGATATATATCTATCTATCTATATATATAATAGCCGTAATCAAGAAATGAACGTTTTCGTATCTTGGTAATGTTAATTTTTTTTCTATCAACTTACCTATCTTCTTAACGTTAATTTCACTTTCCTATCTTCTAATGTTAAAATTTTTTTTTCTATCAACTTTCCTATCATCTTAATGTTAAATAAATCGTAAGCTATTATTATCTCGCTTAAAAAAAATTTTTTTAAATTTTTTATGGCAACACTGGATTCGGACTTGCAACCTATCGTTCGGAAGGCAAACGTTCTAACCATTGAGCCCCCCCTTCAATATTATATTTTGATATATTTGTATATTTATATTAAAATTTTTTTTTTTATAAAATTAATTTAATTTAATCAGAATGACGGGGTTGATGGGTAATTACTAATTAGTTAGGTGTATACGATACTAAATATGCTTTATTAATATATTTCATAAAAATATTAATATTTAGGAGAAAAAGAGGTAAAAATGTTGCAATGTAAGGGTATTAGAAATATCATAATTTACATTTGTGATAGAAATCAACTTGGGTAAAATTTAAAATAGATATCCTTGAAAATTTTTTAATTTTAAATATGGGTTAGACATTGGCTTTTTAAAATATTTTATTTGAATTCTCAACTACCAAAATTATCATGATCTTTGGTAGGGCTGGGGAAATTTTTTTCAAAATTCATTTTCTGAATCTCCTTGAAAAGCTTAACATGAATCTGCTTTTATTTTAAAAAAAAAACTGTATTTTGACCGGGGACGCGTAGTGTTTTCCAAAAAAAAAGTGTTTTTTCAAAAGATCACTAAGTTATAAAATATTTTTAAATACAATATTTACATATTCTGAATACTTTTAATGAGCTTAATATGAATCTGTTTTTATTTTTTTAAAAAAACTGTATTTTGACCGGGGACGCGTAGTTTAGTCAAAAAATGAAGAAAAAAAGTTATTTTTCAAAAGCCCACTAAGTTATAAAATATTTTTAAATACAATATTTACATATTCTGAATACTTTTAATGAGCTTAATATGAATCTGCTTTTATTTTTTTTAAAAAACTGTATTTTGACCGGGGGCGCGTAGTTTAGCCAAAATAATTTTTTTTTCGAAAAATAATTTTTTTTTAAATTTTTTTATTAATACCATTTTCTGAATCTACTTGAAAAGCTAAACATGAATCTGCTTTTATTTTTAAAAAAAAACGGTTTTTTGACCGGGGACGCGTAGTGTTTGAAAAAAAAAGTGTTTTTTCAAAAAATCAAAAATATAATATTTACATATTCTGTATTCTTTTAATGAGCTAAATATGAATCTGTTTTGATTTTTTAAAAAAAAACGGTTTTTTGACCGGGGACGCGTAGTGTTTTTAAAAAAAGAGTGTCTTTTCAAAAAATCACTAAGTTATAAAATAGTTTAAAATATAATATTTACATATTCTGTATTCTTTTAATGAGCTAAATATGAATCTGTATTTTTTTAAAAAAACTGTATTTTGCCTGGGGACGCGTAGTGCCAAAAAAAAATTTTTTGGAAATTTTTTTTTTAAATTTTTTTTATTAATACCATTTTCTGAATTTCCTTGAAAAGCTAAACATGAATCTGCTTTTATTTTTTAAAAAAAACGGTTTTTTGACCGGGGACGCGAAATGTTTTAGAAAAAAACTGTTTTTTCAAAATATCACTAAGTTATTAAATACTTTAATATATAATATTTACATATTCTGTAATCTTTTAATGAGCTAAATATGAATCTGTTTTGATTTTTTAAAAAAAACTGTATTTTGATCGGGGACGCGTAGTTTAGCCAAAAAAAAATTTTTTTTATTAATACCATTTTCTGAATCTCCTTGAAAAGCTAAACATGAATCTGCTTTTATTTTTTAAAAAAAACGGTTTTTTGACCGGGGACGCATAGTGTTTTTGAAAAAAAAAGTGTTTTTTGAAAAAATCACTAAGTTATAAAATACTTTAAAATATAATATTTACATATTCTGTATTCTTTTAATGAGTTAAATATGAATCTGCTTTTATTTTTAAAAAAAAAACTGTATTTTGACCGGAGACGCGTAGTTTATTTTTTAAAAAAATAAATTTGTATAAATTTTATATAGTTACCGTATTTTTTTTAAATTAAAAAAAAACATTTTCTAACTCATCTTATAAAGCTTAATAAAATTTCCTATTAATAATAATAAAAATAAGTCGTTTTGACCGGGGACGCGTAGTTTTTGGGGACGTGTATTTTAGTCATTCCCATTAATATATAAAACTTATATGTGTAAAATTATAATTATAAATAATAGTATTTTAATAAAATGATTTATTTAATCATTTATAAGATGATTTGCATTTTAATAATTTATAAAATAATTTATATATTATATTTTAGTTTTCTTTCAATTTTAATTCATTTGATACATTACTATTATGAAGCTCGCTATTTAGGGGTGGAACTGGTTTAATACTGTTTTTCATGATTAATAAAATTAAAATATTTTAGAGAATAAAAAATTATAAGAAAATAGGAATTAATGATATTTTAAATCCATAATAATATATTTATTAAGATATTAAAATGCATTCACTTTTTGTGTTTCTGGTTATTTTTAATATGAGCGATAATTTTTGGCTCTGATATTGCACGTGGGGGTGATTTATTAGGTTGTGATTCCCTAATTTATAAGATGTAAATTTATAATAAAATTATATAATTTATAGTTTTACATTGCAGTATCAGTAGACAATTTTATTTTCTCCAGATGTGCTATTTTATCTTTTTCGTCCTTCTTTATATTTAATACATTAAATGCTGATCCAATAATATAATCATCCTTTATACCAAATGCATGCTTTAATAGTTTATTCTTTTGTTCATTTGCTCTAATTAATTGATGGCTATTTTTAGTACTATAAAATATAATTATTTTAATTAAAATATTATTAAGTTTACATTGGCCTTCCCATATTATCTTCATCTACAATCTCATCTTTACTAGCATAAACACCACTTTTATTGCCTTCATCTAACGTTTGCATCAACATTTTCCTGAACATAGAAACTTTTTCTTCAATTTCTTCTTCATCAAACCTATCACATATAAATTAAATGAATTCTATAATAGTATCAATATAATTTATGACACACATTATTACCCTTGATCTTCCATGAGTTCTTTCATTTCGACACATCTAATTTCTAGTTTTCTTTTGTTATCATGAAGCAATATTTCTTGATTCGCCTTTTTAAGCAATAAATTTTCTACGTTTTCTTTAGCAAGCGGCCTAATTAAATATTAGTTCTATAAACATTTAATATTAATTTACTTGTATTCAATTTTTTCTCTAACTCGTTTGATAAAAGACAAATTTTTTTGCACATAGCCATTAGTTCCCGTTCCCCTTGCGGTAGCTAACCCAATACCGTTATACATATTTAATCAAAATGATAAGTTAGAAAATGGGTTCTAAAAATTTATTTAGGATAGATTATATTCTTTTATTTGGTTTGTGCTAAACCATGACCTATCTATAAATTTTTAAATTGGATAATGTTTCTCGTATTTAATAATAATAGAAACAGATTCATATAGTAAATATAATTTTTATTTTTATATGTGTATAAATATTAATAATATTATAGAAAAATATGACTAGCTTCTTTATAAAATTATATATTGTGCCTTGTTTACAACACAATATTCAATAAGCAGAATCAAATGTTTTTAGCCATTCAACAAATTATATTTAATTGTTTTCTTAAATTTTAATCAGGGTGAGTCAAACTAGTAAGTGATCAGGATTGAGAATGTTACTTGAAGTATAAAGGTTGTTATCAGGGGCTTCACTAGACTTTACAATATTGTTGTTAAACGGCTGAGCCAAGCCGGCTTAGCCAAAAACTCAGCCAGATTTGGAGCCAAATATTGAGCTCAGGCTCAGGCCGGCTCATTGAGCCTGCTGGCCCAGTCGTTGCTCAAGCCGTTAGCTCTATTTATTTGAGATTAGTGTTAGTGTCTAAACTGCTGAGCCAAGCCGGCTTAGTCCTAAACTCAGCCAGCTTTTTGAGTCGAAAATTGACTAAGGTTCAAGCCCCCTTATTGAGCCATTTTAGTTGGCTGGTTTGAGTCGACTCAAGCCGGCTAAGGAGTTGCCTCAAGCCCTCTTTTTACCCAAAATTTATTTATTTGAGATTAGTATTGTTAAACGGCAGAGCCAAGCCGGCTTAGCCCTAAACTCATCTAGTTTTTGAGTCAAAAATTAACTCATTTGAGCCAAATTAGTCGGCTAACTCGAGTCTGCTCATGACTTGGCTCAAGTAGACTTTTGAGCCGAAATTTATTTTTAAACGTCTGAGCAAAGCCGGCTTAGCCCTACATTCAGTTTGTTTTTGAGTCAAAAATTGACTGAAGCTCAAGCCAAAGGAAGATCTCATAATTAAAAAAGATCTACGACACATATTGCAACGGTACGGCAGACTCTTGTTTTTTTCCTACCCGAATTATGAAATTGCAAAAAGTATATTGTATTCCTAACGAAAATAATTGTTATAAACTCATTCACAAGTTGCTTAATCATTTTGAGTATAACACCTACTTTAAAAATATTCTTTTTAAAAAAAAAGATTATGGATATTAAATAATCGGAATCAGCTATTTTAAATATCTTTTAAAAAATGATATATTAATTTTAAAAAATAAATAACATAAAAAAAGGATTGATTCATTTTTTATATTTTTTATTTATTATATTGAATTTGTTTAATGCAATCTTATATTAATTATTTTATAATATTTATGCTTATATACCCATGCTATAAATGGAATAAAACACAAATTTAGAATTTATAAATAAATTATACCCCTCATATATATTTTTTAATAATATTTTATTTTTATGTTTTTAAATTTTATTTGTACATGTTATTTTATTTTATAGGCAATGATAATCATTGTTTATAGGTATATAAATTAAAATATAAATCATTTTTTTCTTTTAAGCTAAAGATATTTAGATAAATAATCTTTCATTAACTCAACATTTTATTTCTTTATTTTTTCATAGAATTTGATATAAATTAAATAAATTTTTTTATTAAACATTTTTAAAGGTGGTTTATATTAATATTAAGTATTATTTATGAATTTTTAAATGTGGTTTTTTTAAATATTATATCTGATAGCTGCAGAGGTAATTTGCACGGCCCGAATTTTTAAAATGGACAAATTTCGTCCAGGATCCTATTTTCAAAGAAAAAATTTAGGCCTGGCAAGGATTTTTTTAAAAATATTTAGACATAGTCAGTGATTTATATACTCAGGGCGTACCCGTCCCGGACTTTTTTAATGTTATTTTTGGTCTAACCACCTTCTTTCAATCGCTTAAGTTGTTATTAATATTTCTATCTTCTATATCAACAAAGATTTTACCTTATACATATATATATATTTTGTTGAACATATTTGGATTTGATAAGAATTTTAAATCTTCTTTGTAAATAAAGAATTTTTGAGGAATTCTTTTGAGAATTTTATTATAAATTAATAAACAATCCTTTAGCTAAATCTTTTATAGTTTTTTTTAAACATCTTTGTAAAATTATCTATTTTTTTAGTATATTTTTTTAAATATTTATATCTTTTTATGTTCTTTTATATGATCTTTTAAACGAAAATTTTTTAATGTGATAATTGTCATATTCGTTATTTTATAACATTTTTGAAACTTTTTGACATAAAGGGTAAAATAATATTTATATTGTAAAGAAGTTAAACTATAAATTAAATGAAGATGTCCCTGGAAAATTGGCAATTATCATAATCAAATATTTTTAAACATATTAGATTTTTTTTGACGCTAATGGACAAAAATATGTATTTTTAACATGCTAAATTAAAATTTCAATTAAGATGTAACATATTAATGTGACAATTGTCATAATCGTTCTTTTTAAAGTTTTTAAAATTTTTTTGATGTAAATAGGCTAAAATAAGTATTTCTAAAATGTTTATATAAAACTTCAGTGAAGATGTACCCTAGATAAGTGACAATTGTCATATAATTGTTATTTTTAAAGTTTATAGAATTTTTTTGACGCAAATGGGTATAAATATAGGTTCTAACATGTTAAATTAAAATTTCAGTGAAGATGTACTATAGATAAGTGACAATTGTCATAATCGTTATTTTTAAAGTTTTTTTAACGCAAATGGGTAAAAATATATATTGTAAACATGTTAAATTAAAATTTCATGAAGATGTTGTCATAATCGTTATTATAAGTTTTTTGAATTTTTTGGACGCAAATTGGCAAAAATATAGATTGCGTACATGTTAAAATAAAACTTCAGTATATATAAGTAACAATTGTTATAATCGTTATTTTTAAAGCTTTTTGAATTTTTTGGACCCAAATGGGTTAAAATATATTGTAAAAATGTCAAATTTAAATTTCATGAAGATGTAGGAAAGTGACATTTGTCATAATCGTTATTTTTAACATTTTTTAACATAAAAGGGTAAAAATAATATTTATTTTGTAAAGATGTTAAATCATACATTAAATGAAGATGTTCATTGGAAAATTGGCAATTATCATAATCAATATTTTTAAACATATTAGATTTTTTTGACGCTAATGGACAAAAATATGTATTTTTAACATGTTAAATTAAAATTTTGACTAAGATGTAACATATAAAAGTGACAATTGTCATAATCGTTATTTTTAAAGTTTTTAAATTTTTTTTAATGAAAAATAACCATTATGACAATTGTCACTTATCTATAGTACATCTTCATGAAATTTTAAAACAAGTTTACAATAAATATTTTTACCCATTTGCATTAAAAAAAATCAATAAACTTCAAGAATAACGATTATGACAATCGTCACTTGGTACATCTTCACTGAAGTTTTATTTAAATGTTAGCAATACTTATTTTAGCTCATTCACATCAAAAAAAACTGTAAAAATAACAATTATGACAATTGTCACTTTTATATGTTACATCTTAATTGAAATTTTAGTTAAACATGTTAAAAATACATATTTTTATCTAGCGTCAAAAAAAATCTAATATGTTTAAAAATATCGATTATGATAATTTCTAATTTTCCAAGGAAATTGAATTTATAATTTAACATCTTTATAATATAAATATTATTTTACCCTTTTGTGTCAAAAAGTTTCAAAAATGTTTAAAAATAACGAATATGACAATTGTCACATTAAATTATTTTCCTTAAAAAGATCATATAAAAAAAATAACATAAAAAAGTTTAATATAAATATTTTTAAAAAAGTTATTTAGAAAAAACCAATTCTTTTAATATACATAAAAATAGATAATTTTACAAAGATGATAAAAAAAACTATTTCATCTAAAAGATTGTTTATTTATAATAAAATTCTCAAAAAATTTCCTCAAATGCAAAGAAAATTTAAAATTCTTATCAAATGTTCAAAAATCTTTTTCAAAAGATTTTTTTTTGCTTAAATTTTGGGCATGATATAAAAATTACTAATAAATTGTAACAAAAATAATATTACAATAGCAGCATAACATTTTTTTTATTAAAAAAAACATAAAATAAATAAATCTATTTTCATAATAAAATATAAATTATGTTTAAAAAAAATTTTAAAACAAAAAAATATTTATTTATATTCTTTTAAGATATTTAAATAAATTTTTAGCTCAAAGTTAGACTCGAGCCAACTCCTGAGCCGGCTTGAGCCAAATTTTGAGCCGGCTTGAGCCTAAGCCAATTTTTCGACTCCGACACTCGACTTTTTAGCAACACTACAATCTCAAGTGCTCAAAATTTTTTTTAAATTAAACTGTTTTTAGCCTTCATTATTCAAAATTAGCTTTTTTAGCTAACATTATTCTAAATTACCTTCATTTTTATTTAGCTAACTTACCCTTTATTTTTAGTTGTATAAAAAAAATTCAAAATTTTGATAGAATTCTTCAAATTTTTCAGGAGACTCGAATCCCTGCCCCCCCCTCGCCTCCTCCCCCATCCCACTGACGCTAATGGTTGTTACCATCCCACAAAAGTAGGTTCAACGATTAAGCTACCCTTATAAATGATGTATGTGGTGCTAATAAAAAAGCGCTGTTGCATAATTAAAAATAAGAATAAATTTAACTCAAAAAATGCAATAAGAAATTTTATTGTTTCCTCTGTAAAACATAAAATAAAAAGGCAGTATATAAATTATAACAGAAGCTTATTAGAATAAAGTAACAATCAGAGATGATCAATTATGCATATGATAATATTAATCATATTCACCATTATTTGCATTTCCTTGTTTTATCTATTAATTTTATATGCAAAACGAATGTCTCTAAGGGAGTGGAATTGTAATGAATAAATATTTATTTGTTTATTGGATGCTGCATATTGATTTCAAATGATGGATCTTAATTTTTTAGGCAATTAGTATTAAAAATTTGGAAATATATATTTTAATGAATAAATATTTATTTGTTTATTATATGCTGTATATTGTGTTCAAATGATGGATCGTGAAAGATATAGGATTACTTCATTTTCGAGGTAATTAGTATTGAAAATTTGCAGAGAGATTGAATGAAACACGACTAGAAAGTTAATATGTAAATGGAAAGTGATGATTAACCATAAAATCTACATCACCTCAAGAACTATTCAATAATGATTGACATTTCCTCGATATAACTTACGACTCTTCAAAATTACATAAAATTCTTTTTAGACTCCAACCATTAGTATAATCAAAGTGGGATATGTCTTTTTATTAGAAGACTATGCGCCAATATAAGCATCGTAAGAATTACTGCATTCTACAAACTAGCCTTTGTTGCTAAAGAATGTTATTTCATTATAATCCATTCCCTTAAAATCTAAATTCTAGTAAAGAGGATAAGGTAATCTGCAAGCTGTATTTTAAAATCAATAACATCAGGCCTGACGTTTTAATTTCTGCAGGAATTAATTTAATTTATAATTTATTGAGACTCACAATTTTTTGATAGTTAGCAGTAGAGTATTAATAATTAAGTTATTCATTTCAAAATATATGAAGGGATTATCATTTCAATCAAAAATTTGTAATTAATTTAGTGCGAACATCGCCTGCGAAGGCGCTGAATTTTTTAGTGGGGTTAATGTAGGGTTTAAAGGTGGAGGGGGGGGGGGGTTATGCTTCCAATGAATAATCTTCAATGTAGGTACTACTTATGTGTGACGTTTTACTTTGCAGTTCCTTTTATAATATTTTAGGTGCCATCACGCTCATTGTGAAATAATCCATAAGTTTATGCCTTCATCTGAATAGAGCCAAATCCAAACTATTCTTTCCTTCTCCCAAACACTCTTTCCACAACTTCTAATTAAAATAACTACGATCCAGGACCTAATACATTTAACTTCTTCTACCGAAGGCTTTTATTCAGCAGTGGTTTCCCTTATGGCCAAACTAATGCCCAATTTTACTAATATTCTGGCCAAGAGTCTTTTTTTCAAAAAAAGATACCAATTTAATCTTTTCAGAGAGAAATTGGTTGTTGGCCTCGCTACCCAGAAAGATCGAAGGCATCCTCTTCCGCTTTCCCTGATCGCCCTTTCAAGCTTCAATTTCTCCCGATTATTTTATTCTTAGAAAATTCTAATATTAATTAAATTTCCAGATTGAATATTAGAATTGGTTATCAAATCATGAACATTGAACATCTGACTTAGTCTGCTGGTAAAACTGATTTTAAACTACTAAAAGATTCTCAATTTTGAAAAAAGCCATGGCTCAATGCCTTTCCCAGTAGTAGCTTGATCTTTCGTTCTTGGACAGAGAATGCCATCCTCCTAAGGTAGTAAATATCTATTAAAAATATTTAAGTCTATGGCTAGTGATAATAAATCCTCTACCAAAGCTACCTTAGCATCGTGGCTAGGATTAGGGACGCTGGGCTTCCAATTTGAATTTCTTCTGGTACTCTAATAGGCATGTATGCAAATTTTGTGCTGAAATATGTACATTATTTGTAAATATTCTATATAGTGCATAGAATATTAGAGTATACTTTATTTCAAAATATATATTTAATGGCCCTGAACTAAGTGAGTAATATATTAATGACAGGTTTTATTTCTATGGCTATAATTTTTCTTAATTCCTGAATTATTGATATATTATAAAATATAAAAGTCATAATTTATCTATTTAAAGGAATACAATTGTCCTTCATTTGTGCAAAGAATATTCCTGGCATCATTTTACAAGACTACATTAAAAACGAAGTTCGATATAGAGTTCAACTTAAATACAAAATCACGCAAACAGAAACGAAGATATTAAATTTTTAAAAAATGTTACCCTATAATAAATGCTATAAACTAAGTAGGAAGATGTCTTGTTTAATTCTTTATATTTACTATTTAAATTATCATAGTATAAAAAATATCCAGTTATAATTGAATTTAAAAGATTTTATGATAAGCCAGTCAAAAATGACGGGGAATGAGATTTTTATTCATTTTTTTACTATGTTTATTAGGAAGCATATAATTATTAAAAAGTTTATCCAGCCCAGTCAACCCTTAATAATTTGTTAAAGATAATATCATGTCAGGTGCAAGCTAATGTAAATTTTGAGGTTCCAAGCCCAGTCGTATCCAATATAATTTTGAAAATTTTTTCCCACCTCGGTTTTAAAACTCAAAATTACAATAATTTCTAGGGTACTTTAGTTAAATTCGTATTGTCCAAATGTAAATGAGGAGGAAAAGAGTCAAAATTTTAAAAGGTCAGTTAGAACATATTTATTTATTAAATTGTGATTATTTAGAGGGAAAACATATATATGATTTTAAACGATAATAATAATAAAATATAAATGTCTAATCCTTATTTTTGACAATCATGAAGTTTTGAATCAATATTTTCAACGAATGAAATATGTAGAAATATTTATCATTTAAATCTGATATAGTATTTATAATTTTATCATGATATATAGCATTATGGCTACAACGTCAACGCTAACGCTATTCCCCAATAGCGAGTATATTTGTCTTCTTGTTAATCCTTCGGGAATGGCTATAAAATAGTTAATTTAAAATAATTATTTAAAATGCAGGCGAAATTTTAATGTATTGTTATATTTATATACTATATTATAACTCAAAAGTTTCCTAAGATATAACTTTAGTTTTTGACGATTTACGATAAAGAAACCCTAGAGATGTACCGATATCTCTTATCGGATAGGGACGATATTTCATTTCTTTCAAAATATCGGCTATCGGCAAATATTATAAAATTTTCCGATCCGATAAAATGGCGTCTTAATTTTTAAATTTTTTTTAGATAATTATATATTATAAAAAAATTTTAAAAGGTGATATCTAAAAAAAATATTTATTTTTATTAATAAAATTGTAATCTATTTTTATGTTATTTTACTAATATGATAATAATTAATTAATAAACATACGGTCATATTGTTATTTTTTTCGCATTCTGTTTATAAAAGTCCTCATTATGTAGCAACATCTGCCACAAGTATTTCATCAAAATCTGATTTTAGTGAATGTTGGTGATATTGACAGTTCTTATCGAAGTAGACCCTCTTATAAACTAAAAATTTTGGTATTTCTGAAAAGAAATCCTTATACTAATTTTTTTATTTATTCCAAATTTCATAATATGTTTGTTTATTACTTATTATGCAAATAGATTAATGTTATTATATAAATAAGTGATATATCAAAATAAAAAATATTTTACATACTTTTAGATTCATGAATATAAATGATAACTGATCATTGTAATATATATTTTGACTTATGTTATGATAAAGTAATTATAGATGTTATACTATTAAAGTACATGAGTAAATGTATTGTGCATTAAAAATTAAAAAACTTAGTATGTTTACAGAATAGAATCAGATATAATATCGGATCGGTAATCGGCCGCTATCAATTTAATATCGTCGACTCCAAAAAGTGGTATCGGTACACCTCTATATCATGCTATTACATATAACATATTAATAATACCTATAGTGAATATTTATTAAATGAGTATCAATACAAATCAGCTGGTGGGATGCCATTTTTTTCTCATATGAGCAATTTCCATCAATAGGAAACTAAAATGGCGTGTCATTAGCTTATTTATTCAACAACCGCTTTAAAATGCTTTTTTTAAAATGAATAAATGGTGTATCTTAAGTATTGTTATAGCATAAGATTTAATTAGCAACTGTGATGCGTATTTCTTCGATCCTAGGATGATTAGATATATGGGTATAAGATACAAAATAAACAGATCCCCACCCACCCACCCCATCTAACCAATTAATAAATAAAATAATTATACTAAAATCAGATGGAAATCCCATCAATCGCGCAATCTCCATGGGCTTAAAATATCTGATACGATAATCGACCCCATATATGTCCATCTTATCTTTACCATTTTTCAAATTTTCTTTAATCTAATATTTAACAAAAAAAACAGTGCCTATATATTATAGTTTATAGAGAAGGCATATAAAAATCTGTCCCGCCTTATATTTTCATAACTGGATTATCCTAAGTTTTCGTTTTATTTCAAAAATATTTATTTTATATCTAACGGCAAATAATATAAACTTATTTTTGTTTCTTAACTTAAAAATAAGTTTATATTATAGTTTTATTTTATCGTTGTAATTTACATTTTTTTTTATTATTTGTCACTTAAGTTAAATTCAATTTTTATTTTGCTTAACTTAATAATTGATTATTTTTTTTCGTAGATATATAAAGAACATTTTGTTAAACTTAAAAGAACTATGTATTGTATATTATGAATATTTTATCATGTATTATATCTATCATTTACTTCCTATGATTATTGATTACTATTATGTCCTATGATTCGCTAATAAATAAAATACAGAAAACTATTTTAGACCACAACTTTGATATTAATTCAGCATGGTGGCAGCTAAGACATGTTTTAACATCAGCTTACCACCAACAATCTAATGTTTAATGTTCTCTCGGTGGTTATAGATTTTACCGGGGTGATGATAGGATATTTGCTGTACGTCCACTACTATTAGCTAATATTTTTGATAGAACGGACCTGCGTAATCAACATGTAATCTTTGGAAAGGTTTAGATGTTGGAGCCTATAAATGTTGTATGGTTTTCGGGTTATCTGGCCACATATTGCATAATTTGCAGTTTTTAATATTTAAATTTATTTTAGCGTTCATGTAAGGCCACCATATGTAATCCCTTGCCAGTGCTTTAGTTTTACCTGCTCCCAAGTGTACAGAAATTAAATCCTGTGGCATGGTTTTTCTCATGTGGTTTGGAACTCCTATTTTATAAGCTTTGTGGAGAAATTATTTACTATACTAGTATCTATCTCGATATCTTCTAATTTACTACCTATGTTTATTAATTTATCTATTGTTCTCACTATGGAATGGTTTTGGAATAAGATGAGACTATAATCTTTTCGATCGATTTATCAAAATTACATTCGCTTTTTAATTTACAAATCCTTGCCACCCAGTCGGCAAACTTTCCCCCCTTAGCTTGTGTAGTATTAGAGAATTCAATAATTTTTTTAATCCTAATTTTAAATGGAAATAAAAGCTTGAGCTTATTTATAAAAAATGTCTGGAGACTTAAAGTCCACATCTGTTAAATGGCCCTAACCTTTTAATACTTTAAGGTAAATGCTAAGCTTACTAGTTTCGAATAAATCCTTAACCTTAGCAATATAAGAGTACAGATATATTTCGGAAAAGACAAGGAGGCCTCTGTCTAGTCCTTAGGTGAACTGATGGTTATTTCAGTGCCACCTTTAGTGGACTTGGACATCAAAAAAAATTTTTATAAAAAAAATTATTTTTTATTATATTTTATTATTTGATCTAATCTTTTTATTAATTTTTATTTTATAAATATTTTTTTACTATCCGATATTAAATATCGAATCGGATAGGCACTGATATCTCGAGTTTTCCAAAAATATCGGATCGGGCAGATACCTGTAAAAACCGATCCGATCTTTTTACTTTTCTTTTTTTGTTATTTTATGTATATTTATTTTACATTAATAATATTTTCTAAATAATTTTTTAAACAATGCAAATGCACACCACCACCTCTTAAATTTTATTTATTATTTAAAATAGATTTATAGTATTTTAAAAGTATTTTTATAAAAATAAAAAAATTATTTCTTTTAAATCTTTTTAAATAATGCCAATTTTATATTTATACTTTATTTTTTTTAAATATGTTATCTGAACCAATTTCCTATTTCAATTGAAAAATTTTTTTTTACCTTACTAAATATAAAATATAAAATTTATAATATATTTTATAATATTTATTATAATTGCACCAAAAAATAGGAGTTCATGCTTTATCCTTTTCCCCCCTTAACCATGAGATTGACATTAACCTAAAAAATGGTTTCTAATTTTAAAATAAAATCAATTATTTTTATATTCCTTCAGATCATATTTTTTTTCCAATTAATTAGCACAAGTCTGGGTGGTGTCCTTCATGAATCTTTGAAAATCAATGGATGTATTTTTCACAATAGGGGTAGCTGCTGAGAGCTTCTATATTCGGCAAAAAATCGGAATAGAAGTGTCGGGATAATGTAATTTCTATAAACAACATGGGTGCATGGCATTAGACGATTTGTATATATATATATATATATATATTATATTTTTTAGTGCATAAACAATTAACTATAGACTTTATATATATTTTATTAATGTTTTGATTTTTGTGAATAAACTATTTTTTTTAAAAAAAATATATTTTGATTTATAATTTAGTAAGTGAAATTTATAAACTAAAAATATTCATTTTAAATCATTGATTTCAAAAATCGGGCTGATTTAAATCTCGATTTAAAACTATTTGATTTATATCTGTGTTGTACCTATGAAAAAGGGTTCCTGTCCTGCTTTGAATATTTTTTAAAAACCCATCCTGAAAATAAAATACGGGACAGATGGTTACATTCCTCGATAGTTTGTATTTTCATGTATTTTTTTTAAAAAAATCATAATGTAATAATTTACATCATTTTGGGATGTATTGTCAATAATCAGAAATGAGCCTGAATATTTGAAGAGTCTACCATAGCTTCAAAATAAATATATAAAAAATAATATAAAAATATTCTTTTAATATCGTGATAAGAAAATGTTTTATATATTACCATACATCTTTGATATCCGCCTATTACCCGCCCATATTTTATTTTCTTGCCAATATTATAAAATAAATATATACCAATTTAACATAAATATCAATAATTAAAATATATGATTCGAAGTGCGATGTGTAAATTATCGCCTCATTATTCAAAAAGTTCGCCCGGCTATTTTATTCATATATTTAAGATAAGTTTTAAACCTGGACTGGAAGCGGATTCCAAAAAATTGGCATTATGATCTTAGAAGAATTATTATTGACCTGTGCCATTTAACACAATGCTCAAATGTGAAGAGCATTACTTTAAAAAAAATATGTTTAAATACAGGAATAAATTATTTATTAGTTTATAATGTTTCACTCAAGTAATTCATACCATTACCTTATTATGTAAACTCTACCTTTCTTGTAAACTGATGATAGGTGTTTTCTGAGTCTATATTGGTTATCTTGATAAATTCGCATGGTTATATCCAGGTTAACTTCAGTAAGGACTAACTTTCAATTATAACAAAATCAATAGGAAATTGGGCTATAAATTCTCGCAGTCTTTCGCCTTAATAATATCCCTGGTATAGCTAAACCGAATCTTTCTATTTTTAATAAATGCTATCGTTGTATTTGTTGCTAAAAATTGTAAGTTACGATTGGCATTGAAATCACCATCTGTAATCTAAATAGTTCTTTTCTCTCATTTTAATGACCTTATTTCGGCCAATCAATTATTATGACCAGGGTCGGATGATGGTAGATAAATAAAATTTCCAAAAGGAAAATAAATAAAGATTTTCCTCCCCCCCCCACCGCTTCGGCCAACCCTTCCAAAACAACTACAATTAACTACCTATCGACTTCCTCTCTACTGTAAAATCTTCGAATATTTTTCACAAATTATATGTTAGCGGCTAAAAAAAAGTAGGTTATAGATGATATATCATAGGCATTAAGATTAAGGCTGACAGAATGCACAGCCATTAGTTGACATAGCACAAAATAATTTAGCTCAATGAAGAAATTTGCAAGACTGGTTTAAAATACAACATAACTTATTTTAAAACCTTTAATAATGCATATTAATGATTTTTTCTTCAGAAAATTAATTACGGGCCAGGATAAAAAATAAGAAAGAAGAATTAAAACCAGAATGAGCTAAAAAAATCAAGCCAAATAATTATAAAATATTTTTTGATTGGCCAAAAAAAAAATGCGTGATACAACTTTTCCTTAGCTGATACCAAGACCATTATTAACCTGGTATTGGCCAGTACCAGGATGTATAAATAATATTGTAGTATATTTAAGAAACAAAGAGGATAATTTAGGGCTGCATGTAATTTACTTTTTTGGCCAATATCAATCCAATATTTGTTGATAAGACTTCAAATTCCAATACCAATTTTACATTGATTTATAATTTTTGTCTTAATTATATTCTTATCTTACTTATTAAAAATTTGAATATAGCGTTTGATATAAATATATCTGATGAACTCAATATTTATAATAACAAGTTTATTGAATTAATCAGAGATAACATACACAATAAATGTTTTATAAATAATTTGTTTAATCAATTATCCAGGCTAGTTTGTAAATCCCTTTCTTTATATAATTATTTACTTCCACTCAGCCATACATGGGGGATATTTTTTTATTAAGTTTAATCATTTCTACTAAGAAGCCTGCCCCTATTAAGCTAATAAGTTTTTTGAATCCCTCGAAAACCAATAGGGATATGATTCTACCTTAAGTATAGTGCAAATGGCGAAACTAGAAAAAATACTTCTAGTTTGATGCAATAAACCGTTAATATTCGTATCATTATTTAATCATTATCATTTAGTGTGAGCGAGTAAGTGAGTGGATTATATCATAAATAACTTGTTTAATTTTTTGTTAATATTATATTACTTTAGTTAGACGTCCTTTAAAATACAAATAAATAAATATATTGTATTTTATTTTTAAATATTAAATCAAAATATTGGCTTGAAATTCAAAATAATATATCACAATTTTAATGCCCTAGCTGGACTATTAAAATTTTATATAAATTCAGAGATTTAAAATAATGCCATATATAAATAAATTGGCATGTTCAGCTCGAATTTTTTTTATCTAATTATCTGAACTGCATATTTTTTATGCATGACCTAATCTGCCGAGTCCAATAACGACTTTCCTGGGCCATCCCAGTATTTTTAAACATTAATTAGCTGGATACTAATTATATAATTGTTTTCGGGAAAATCCTGATTTGTAAAATCTCCTTTTTTTTGAATAAAAATAAGTAAAAATGCTCAAAGATTGAACAGAAATGTTTAGTGATGTTTTTCCTATAAAAGTCAAATTTAATTCCTGATACTTGAGGTAAACTTCTTTCAAAATTATGTAGAGATCTCGATTTTAGAATTGATAAATATTTCTTTCCTGATCTCATATATATCTACAATCATAGCTCTCCTTACAACTTTTGGTCGAAAATTGATTTTTTCGTTTGTCCCAAAAATATTCACCGGCTTGATAGACAATAACATGGTCCTATACAAAGTTGCTTTTAGCTTGGATCATAAAGTAATCATTTATAATTTGAGCATAGATCCCAAGTTGTGGCATAAAAGGGAAAAAAACTGTAAAATATATTTGAAATACCTGAATGAACATGTTATTAAGGAAAATTTTTCTAAACAAATTTTTTCCTGAATGTTATATTACCTTTTAGCATCCTATTCCTATCAAGGTTTCATCATAAAGTATGTGTTATCATCAAAATATGATTAAAATAAACTTGTATTTTTATTATGATCATAACTTTTGTCTTATTTTTGAGAATACCCAGATGCGATAAGTTGGTTATTGTTTTTTTAATATATTGGACAAAATTTTTATGCTAGTAAAAAAAATGGGATATACTTATTTTAGATTCAACTTAATTTGATCATATAATTTCTGTTACGATTCCTTATTTGAATTGTGATCTATTGTCGAAGACTTGTGGTAGAGACTTTAATAAACTTAATGGAACCTGGTATTAATAAAAAAGAATATATAAAAAATTAAATAATTTTGTTAATAAATCTTACAACTCCTGTTTTTCACTAAACCAAATTTTAAATTGAATTTTGCACAACCACTAAGTTTCTTCAAATTATAAAACCAGATTACTGACTTTTATTTTAAAATTTTTTCATTTGTATACATTTTTTTAATATGCAAAAAAAATTACTAGTATATTAAAAATTCATAAAAAATAATAAAAATTACAAGTATTCATAAAAATAATAAAAATTACAAATATATTTAAGTTCATAAAAATAATAAATTCCTAGACTGCATATTCAAATTAATACTTAACAATCGTCGATAACATATTCACAACTAACTAATTATATAAAAATAAAATTTATGCAAATGATTTACGCGAATATAACACCCCCACCCTTAAGACTAACCTTCCACTGCATCTTTCGTTGGTTCCCCATTCTCCCGCACCAAAAACGCTGTACTGTTACTTGAGGTCTCTACTGCTATTGGACAACATTCTAGAGGGTTTTTCTTCACCCAATATGGTTCAATTCTTCGTTCGAATCGTTGTCTCTTGGGTACTTTCTGCAGGAGTCCCTCATATCTCTGTTGCGCTTCCGTTCTCGAAGCTTCTATCCATCTGTTAGATTCTACTGATCCATCCACCTCTCTAATTTCCATCTTTATAATCTTATTTCCTAAGCGGAAGTATGACGCCATCTACAAAAATTACTATAAAAATATATACATATTCCATAATCTTCTAATGATCTACAATACATTGTATTCTATCCACATGATAATTCTTTTAACCGTTTTAACCCTTATAAATTATGATTCTCATGATTAGGTCTATCATCAAGAGGGAAGGGTATAGTAAGTAAGAATATAGGAAGAAAAAAAGTAGAAGTAGAAATTGAAGGGAAAGAAGGAACCTTTACTAGACACCTGAAACAAGCAAGACTTAGAAGCTTAGGGCAAGAAAGATTGGATATAATTAGAAGAAATAAATTGATGATAGACATAATTATGAGAATCATATTTTCAGATAGAATAAAATTGATGATAGACATAGTTATGAGAATCATAATTTATAAAGAGATAAATTGATGATAGACATTATTATAATCATATTGATGATAGACATAATTATGAAAATCATAATTTATAAAGAGATAAATTGATGATAGACATAATGATGATAATCATAATTTATAAAGAGATAAATTGATGATAGACATAATTATGAGAATCATATTGATGATAGACATGATTAGAATCATAATTTATAAAGAGATAAATTGATGATAGACCTAATATGAGGATCATATTTTCGGATGAAATGGAATTGATAATAGACACTATAGGAGAATCATAATTTATAAAGGCATAAATTGATAATAGACTTAATTAGGAGAATCATAATTCTTGATGAAATAAAATTGATGATAGACCTAATCATAAGAATCATAATTTATAAGGGTTAAAACGGTTAAAAGAATTATCATGTAGACAGAATACAATGTATTGTAGATCATTAGAAGATTATGGAATATGTATATATTTTTATAGTAATTTTTGTAGAAGGCGTCATACTTCCGCTTATAATAAGATTATAAAGATGGAAATTAGAGAGGTGGATGGATCTAGAATCTAACAGATGGATGGAAGCTACGAGAACGGAAGCGCAACAGAGATATAAACTACTCCTGCAGGAAGTACCCAAGAGACAACGATTCGAACGAAGAATTGAACCATATTAGGTGAAGAAAAACCGTCTAGAATGTTGGTCGTGCGGAGGGATGCATAAGTTGAGGTTATGTCCAATAGCAGTAGAGACCTCAAGTAACAATACAGCGTTTTCGGTGCGGGAGAATGGGGAACTAACGAAAGATGCAGTGGAAGGTTAGACTTAAGGGTGGGGGTGTTATATTCGCGTAAATCATTTGAATATAAATTATATTTTTATATAATTAGTTAGTTGTGAATATGTTATCGACGATTGTTAAGTATTAATTTGAATATGCAGTCTAGGAATTTAATTTTTTTATGAACTTTAATATACTTGTAATTTTTATTATTTTTATGAATACTTGTAATTTTTATTATTTTTAATGTACTTGTAATTTTTTTTGCATATTAAAAAAATGTATATAAATGAAAAAAATTTAAAATAAAAGTCAGTTATCTGGTTTTATAATTTGAAGAAACTTAGTGGTTGTGCAAAATTCAAGATATAAAATTTGGTTTAGTGAAAAACAGGAGTTGTAAGACTTATTAACAAAATTATTTAATTATTTATATATTCTTTCAACCTCCGAAAGTAACCCTAATAGGTTGTGTGATATTTACCAAAACGGGTATCATTCGTAATTGTCCAATCATATCTCTCTTAACCAATTACCTAGTTCCCTTGTCCTCATCCCCAAAATGCCCAGACCATCAACTATTGACGATCCCAACCTCGCCGCATGGTTCGTGAAGCCTGCTTATTTGGCCCCGAACTTAACAAGTATATACTTTTTGAATCCCGGAAAAAAAACCCCGGAAAAACCCCCTGGAAAAAAAAACCCTTAATTTTTTTTCGGAATCAGGAAATAAATCTCGTTCTTTACATTTAGATATTATTACTTCGAATATTTTTTCGTAAGTATATTGTGTTTTTTTGGTGTTTAATAGCTGTTAATGATTGTGGCATTCGCTTATAAAATTATTTATCAATATTAATTATTACTAGGTTATACTAAAAATATTAAGTGAAAATTGAGAAGGAAAAATTGAGAAAAGATCAGAAAAATAAAGATTTACAATGACTTAAAGCAATGAGAAGAAAAATATAAATTGGGAAGAAAAGTATAAATTGAGAAAAAAATTTAAGAAAAATTGACAAGAAAAAAATTATAACGATTTTCTTTGTTTTTGAATTTTTTTTATTGGGCTCATCATTAATATTAGTGATAATAATGATTAATTCAAATAGTTATTATACAACAATAATTGTTACAAAAAAAAATATATATAAAGAAAAATTTAACCTTATATAAATTCAAAAACCTATTAAATACAATATTGAATCAGTTTTAGAAAACATCAACCAATCTGATTTTTTTTAGAGTGGATATAGGCACTGATCCAAAATCGATATTAATATCTTAATATAATTGATTAATCAATCATAATTGATTAATCAATCATAATTAATTAATTAATTATAATTAACTAATAAAAGTATTAAAAAATAAGGAAAAAATTAACAGCCATTTTTTTCTAATAGTGCTTTCAAAATGAAGCATTTGTGCTTTACTTTAAATTTCTAATAATGCATTTCAAGTGGTAACATGCAAATTGTAAACTCTTTTTTTTTTGGTTTAAAAAAAAAGTAAAATAGTGTTTTAATTCTTCTATACTAATTTTTTTACATATTTTTAAAAAAAACAAGGAAATATTTTTAAAAACAAACAGTATTTAGTAAATACTATCATGCATCTCTGCCAAAAATAAAGGGTCAGCTGTTATCAATGAAGAGTGGTAATATATTAATAGTTGATAAAATAACATATATTTACCCTTTAGTAAAACAGCAGCTATGATTATCAGATGGATACACAAGGTCTATCACATTGATGTATTTAGCTAAAGTCTCTGCTTCCAAATTATAAGTTTCATCAATATTCAATGATATATTATTCAAGGTATTATCTCTTATTTTGTTTGTTGACTTTCTTTGGGATTTATCTAAGTTTAAATAATAGGCCAAACTACTGGGAACTTTATAGATGACTAGACCATTTCCATAATTCAAACTACCACTAAAGTTATCTGGAAATTTGTTAAGTAATTGTTCCAATATCATATTTGGAAATTCTTTAAAAATAGTACACTAAAGCTAGTAAATATAATATGACTTTAAAAAAATACTGGTTTGTTAATGCCCTCTTGGTCCTCTTTAGGTTCAAATGTATTTGAAAATTTAAAGGGATAATTCCTGGCTATCAAATAGTACCTTAATCTAGAATTAGGGATACCAAATTGTTTAGGCGATAATAAATATTCCTAATTTGATATGAAAAAGATTACTAAATATTGTTAACATTAACTTGATAATGATAATTAAGTGAATTCAACATTGAAATTAACTTTTGATGGGTTTTAGATTGCTCAAAGCCTTTAACATTTTCTAAAAGAATATATTTTGGAATAATTTTTAATCTAAATAATAATTGGATTTATAATTATAATAATTACTGTGGAATGATATCTATTATAAAATGCAATGATTTGCACCTTAAATCTGCATCATCCTTGTAATTACCTAATCTATTTATTGAATGAGAATATTTTATTAAATTACATCAATCATCACCTAGTAAAAGGCTGACATGGGGGACTTAAAGTAAGGGTATCAAAATCTAGCTTATTAAGCTGATCTACAGTAAAGGTCTATAAAGATATATTATATTACATAAGAAACTATATATAACTATACCTCAATGAGTTTTGATTTAATATTTGTTTGATTAAAATTTGCACTATAAGTCATATTTGCTTTGGAATTAATATCAATTGCAAAAACTATTTCATATTTCAATTGAGCTTCTGCAATAATATAATGAGAATTTTGTTACATTAAATTACTATTAAATGCGAAATGAACCCCGCCAATTCCGCTATAGAGCTCTAAAACTTTACTACACATCTGTTTAGTTTTTTAAATTCTATAAAAATAGTAAATTTTTGATAAAATTAAGCAATTGATACCTATCACTTTTCTATTCTAGTGATCTATCAAAGTTGACAGAAATACGATATTTCACATGTACGAGATGTGAATAGATATTTAACAAAAATATATACGAAACATATACATTATTCACTATCAAATAATTGTAGAAATATTTTTATTCCCTTTTGGATTCATTCATCCTTCATCATCTTAGCCGATGGTTACTTTATTCTAGCAAACATCAACGTGCAGTCGCAAATCTTGAGTAATTAAATAGCGCTTAACATTAAACGGTCCTCAAGTATCCGTTATTACTTGCACAGCCACAGGTTTGTCATATTTAATTCAGCACCAATCATTTCATCAATTATTGCGGAAAGTACGCGTGGTGAAAAACGTTAAACGGTAATTAAAAAATTCGTTATCACTTGAACCAGCATAAAGTCAATGTAAAACCATGGGCCTCACCAATGGACTGTTATTTTAACTTGAATTGACTAGATAACTACCTGGATATCTGATGGACAATGTCGAATACAATCTTGACCAATCTTTTATCTGGACGCTTATCCTAAGACATTTTTGATGGACCGCATCGAATCAATTTTTAATCGATTAAAAGGTGGTAACTATAGTTGCTAATTTATAGCTCCACTTTATCCTCATTTTCTCAATTTGACATCTATGGTGACTATGGTTACTAACTAGCCCATAGCCCTATGGCAACTTTATAGTTATGTGTAAAGATATATTATTATATTACAAATGGGCGTCGCTAGGCTTCACAATTCCAGGGGACTTAACTAAAAAAATCTTCTGGGGGCATGGGGGCAAAGCCCCTTTGGCTGGGTTTTATTTTAATATATTATTCTTTAATACAAAATCTATTTATTACAGTATAAGATATTTTCAATTGCTGATATAAAAAATTTTGCGTCTAAAGAATTACAAGTTATAAAAAAGGTTAATTAATTCATACATATGCTTCAATTGATAATGGTTTTAAAAAACAAATTAATATAATATAATTCTTAGCAACTTACATTGACAAAAGGTCATGAAACTCTGTTATTAGACAATGTTTTATAGAATGGACTAGTAAGGAAAAATATATAGGCCTAACCAAATCAATAATTCTAGAAGAATAGAATATAAACAACCGATCCAAAACTATAGTGTGGCTAGAGCTTCCTCTTAGATTACATGATGGAAACTTAAGTAATAAAGAAGATTATTGTGATATATTAAATTTCTAAAAGATTATCTTCTATTTTTAATGATATACTAGTAGAAAGTTCGTCAAAAATGACGGGGAATGATAATTTTATTCGTTTACGATGTTACCTTTTATTTAAAAACCTTATCCAATTTATATTTTTAACCCACCCCCCCCCCTTCCCTTCAGGCAAAGTTCAACCAATATCATTAATTCAACCCATTATGACTAAGAGTGGGAAAAATTTTTTAGTCAAAATATTTTTAAATGAGCTTTTACCCCATATCAAAATTTTTTGTAAAAATATTACGGATTAGGATTACATAAGACCAACATTTAACATTTAAATATTTCAAGCCAGGTCCAAGCTTACAATATTTGGAAAAAATTTTCAAGCACCCAAGACCTTATAATTTTAAAAAAATTTCTCAAGCCTAGCTCAACCCATAATAATTTTAAAAAATTTTTCCTACCCCGATCCATAATAATTTGTAAAAGATATTTTCAAGTCAGGTGCAAGCCAATATTAATTTTGTTGAATATTTTCTAAACCTTCCCAAGCCCTGAGAAAAATTTCTAACTAATGCAGGGGAAATCTCCGATTTACCAGTTAGTCTACAAGTTAACTCACAGTTATATATGCAAAAAAACAGGTGTTTCGTAATAAGGGAAACTGGGAAAGTCTGGACGAACCATCTATTAGAGAATCATGACAAAATCAGGTCTGCCCTAATATTATTATAAGAAATATCAATCTTGGTCTGCCCTAATATTATTATAAGAAATATCAATCTTACTTCGTTTTATTGGAGGTAACCCCAAAAATTAAGTTATGGAGAAAAATATGCAATGAAATTATGTCCACTGCAACAATTCTAACAAAATTTATTTTTTATAATGCTTAATGATTTATGTTTGTATCATTATTTGTTATCCATGAAATAAAAATAAATGATTCTTATACTTTTTTGTACTATGATCAATGATATATATAACTATAGATTGACGATTCATTCATTCAATGCATTATAAAAGTGTCCACACATTGTAATCAGCTGTAGCGCCATTTTGTAGTTTGGTTATCCATTATTTGTCAGCAAGAAATATTAATATATAGAAAACAAGTCTACTACGATAATTTAGTTTTAAAGGTTTCGATTTATGATATAATATTTTATAGTATCTTTTATTCTTAAATTTTCATAAGACTTTTTTTATGAATGTGGACTAGGTGATTATATTTAAAAAATGAATCTAAGACTAACCCACCTTTTAATTTTTTAAAATATAGTTTAACTTAATTCTGCACGGATTTATAAATCTTATGTTAATGCATCTTAGGATACATGCAAAACAGATCTTTTAATATCACTATCATTTATTATTTTATTTAGATAATGGGAGTGTGCTGTGTTCATAATTGTAATAAAACAAATAAAATGGAATCTAATACACATATTTCTTATCATAAGTATATATATTATTTTTTATATGCAACATATTTATTACATAAAGCATTAATAAGCTACAAACATTGAAAAAAAATCCTTATTTAGTAAAAATATAAAGTTTTCTCATTTTTACTGCTAGGACAAATAATGCTTCTTCCTCTTGAGTTTATAAGATTTCTATTTTGAACTTTGCCTAAATATTTTTCTGGATAAAATATTAAGTTAGCCATTTTTAAAATACATATTTACTATGATACAGTTTCATTTTTAAATATTTGTAAGAAATATTTAAACCATATATATATTAATAGAGGCTCTGCCAATCAACAAATTTTCACTGATTCAATACTATATTACTAATAACTGATCTGATATTAATATTGATTGTTATATACTATCTATCTTTGTATCAATGTCATAAATATATCTTATATTTTACTCATTATTATTCACCTATTTTTAAATATAGATTTCCATTAAAATCCAAAGAATTATTGGAAAATACAAAATTTACACAAATTGCAGGAGTGCGAAGGTTTACGTGCTGCAAATAAATTGCGCAAAGCACATATTGCTTTCCAAAAACAAAAAATGAAAGTTTGATAATAAATATATAATTATTAAATATTTTTTAAGGTAAAACTTGCTGTTCAAGTTTTTAGTGCATCTGTTGCAAATAGCCTTCTTTTTGCCCAGCATCAGGAGATTCCTGGATTTGAAAATTGTGATGGTACAATTAATTTTATATTGATGATAGATCAGTAAAATAAAAATTATGGTATAAATTTATGAATAACTTATAGAATGTTTGATTATCTTAATACAAGAAATTGTCTTGGTAAAGGATATAAAGCCCCTTTATATAATAATACAATTGCAGATTATGAAAATCATTTTGACAAGTGCATTAAAACTTTAAAATCACTCAAGTTAACAAATGGAACTTATGTCTATAAGTCTAATAAAAAAACATGTGTAGAAGGGTTAATTCTTTCTATGAAAAGCATCCTGGAAATGGGGAAGGAATTATTAACTGGGGAAACCCCAAAAATGAAGTATTATATTTAATTTATAACAAGAGTTATTCATAAAGCTATAATATAACAATTTTTTAAGGTTCTTTTTAACATATAAAACCTCTCAAGACCACCTAGAATTATATTTTTGTAGTATTTGTAGCAGAGGTGGATTTAATGATAATCCATCAGCATATCAGGTTCGATCTGCTGTTCGCATTTCCTTAATGGCAAAATTGGATGCTACAATTACAGGAAATTGCATTTCCTTAGATAATACTCAATTAATATGTTCAAATTTTCAAAATAATCATGACGATGATTTTAATTCTATCAAAACTATTTCAAATCCAATAATACCCCAGGCATTATCTTATTATTTTAGCCAAACAAATCCTCATATCCCAAAATTATCATTATATTTAGATAATGTAACAACTTATATTTCGGGATATATAGTACAACAACTTATTAAAGAAAAAAAGGTACGATGTGATGTTTGCATTAATGCAATGGTCAGTGATTCATATATTGATAATAATATAAATAATATGCTCATAAATTTTAAAAATAATGGGGGGTTAGTGATTCCTTCATCTAGTATGTCTATATTATGCCGAATTTGTGAAAGTTCATTTAGAACTTATCAAAATGATATTAAACGTAAAAATATTATTAAAAAAATGGAAGTGTTGGTTTTTTCCACAATAATTGGTACAAATATTTTTATTGATCTTACTGAACATATTAATGAACATGAGATTGGTTACAGCCATTTTCAAATTCTTGTAAAATTAATTGTTCAAAGGTAATCATTTATTAGTTTTATACTATTTTTTTAAAGATATTTAAATATTAGATTTTTTCATTTTGCTGACTTGAGAAACCAGGAATTGAGAACTGGTATGAGGCAAAATCTTACAAAAGCAATACAATTTAATAATCAATAAGTCATGTAAATTAATATTTATATCTTCTTTTATTTTTTAAAAATTATATTGTATAAAGAACAGGCCTTATATAAGACATATTATAAAAATTATGATATTATATATAATCTATGCTAATGTAAATATATTTTATTTTTTATAGGTGATGATAGAATCAAAAAGGATGAATGTTTATAATCAAAGATAATATGAATGTGAATCATCACATTGTTAAAAATACATTTTGTTTTTTAAAGTGTACTCTATATTTTTATATATTTATTGTATAAACCTTATTTAAATGATTTATATAATAATTTAAACTCATGCAAAAAATGTTATTATTACACTATGTTTTTATTGAAAAAAAAATAAAAGATGTTTTCATTTGTCATTTATAATTAAGATG